ATTCCTTTGACAAATATGATATGACAGACTTATCTAGGACATGCAGTGTTGGCAATAAGATAATAACAGAACAGTAACAAAATGAAGATGAAGACAATATGTACAGAGAGGGATAAACTTTGGCAGAGGCCAGAGCCATATTATATCTGAGGAGGGCTCAATCCCTATATGTCTCTCATGTTCTGTTTCCATCTTCCTGTATGCCTACTTCTATTCACTTTTCCTCCACAAAAACATACTTTGATGCTTGATACCTGGGTCCTTATAAAATATGTAATTTCTTTTTTCATTTTTAATATTTTAGTCAGTGATTTAAACAATGTATCTCACTGCTTTACTTTTTCCACCAGTGTGATGTTGTTGAGCTCTGTCTGTGTTGCTTGCTCTCTGTGCACGTGGTTCATCCTTTTAGCTGCTGCATAGTCTCCATGTCATGTTTCCTTTCCTTTAATGATGGAGACCTAGTTTGCCTTTGATTCCCCACTGTCATACACGGCACTGGGATCAGTATATCTAAACACAGAAAAGGTACACTAAAAACTTAGGAGAGAAGATAAAATAATGGCACACCTGTACTGAGCACTGACCGTGAAAGGAGCTTGCAGGACGAGAAGTTTCTCTGGGTGAGTCAGTGAATGAATGTGAACCCAGGACATTATTGGGTATTACTGCACACTACTGTAGACTTTGTAAATACTGTTATTAATAGAAAAAACTATACTCTGTAAAATAATTTAAAGAGTTTTATTCTGAGTTGAATATGAGTGACTATAGCCCAAGAAGACTTAATCCCAAGAGTCCCTAAGGAAGTGCACTTTGGAGAGGTAAAGTTATAGTTTGGTTTTAAACATTTGAAGGAGACAGAAATTATAGGTAAGATCAAAAATCAATACATGGAAAGTGTCCATTGGTTCAGCCCAGAAAGGCAAGATATTCTTGTAACAAACACCAAGATCACTATAAGGATTTGAATTATCCCAGCTACAAAGGCTATTGTGGCCTGTGGCTGCCCTCACCTATATAGTCCCAAATTAACCATTATATACATGACATCTGCCCACAGATTGGCCAGAATGTGTTCTGTAAGCCCTAGCAAAAGTTTTTTTCTTCTTTTCTTGGTTCTCATGGCTTTTGCTTAAGTAATTTTTCCTGGCTTCAAGAACCTGCATGATTTGGAACCAACTATTTACATCTAAATGCTGCTGGTTGTGACATGTATAGAATACTCACAATGCTCACATGTTTTCTCAAAAATAATTTATTACAGTGGCTTCTTGTATAGATAGATATAAGAATTTCCTTATTTGTTTATGTTTATGTATACACCTATTTATTTTTAAATTTTTCATTAGAAAATGCCTTGTCTCTACTTGAGAGTAGTGGGAGCATAGTGGCACAAACACTTGTCCTGGAGGACTGTATTCAACTTCTTTTTTCCTAAAAGTTGCTGGGTGGTGCTAGGTGAAAGGCTTAACATCTTTAGCCTGTCTGGTCATCCAACCTGATCATTCTGTCTAGTATAGCAAATCACCCACTCTCTGCGACAGCCAGTTATTTAGTTTATTCAAAGCTCTTGCCATGGACTTTATGTGCCATCTCTTCTTTATGTGCAACTTCTTTAAATGTTGTTGATGGCAACTGGGACCCTGGTGTGTTCCCAGGGCCACCTGGAGCACAGAACATTCTGTCTCAGTGTCAACCAGGGCCAACATTCACTGTATATTAGCTGGAGACTAGTATATGGTATGTTTCACATAAAGTCTCCAGTCCTGCCTACCCCTCCAGGTAGTCTCTTTGGGCTGCCCCCTATTTAAAAGAAAAACAAGGCTCATTGCCTTTGGCTCAAGTGGCTAAGGAGCCAGCCACACACCTTAGCTGGCAGGTTCGAATCCAGCCCGGGCCCACCAAACAATGACAGCTGTACCCAAAAAATAGCCAGGCGTTGTGGCAGGTGCCCAGCTACTTGGGAGGCTCAGGCAGGAGAATTGCTTGAGCCCAGGAGTTGGAGGTTGCTGTGAGATGTGATACCATGGCACTCTACCCAGGGCGACAGCTTGAGGCTCTGTCTAAAAAAAAAAAAAGCAAGCTTCAGGGTCTGTCTCTGTTTGCTCCCTGAGATAAACAGCTGGCTCCCTCCCCTCTTGGGAGTCATCTTCCCTTTTGCCCTGGCACTTCAGGGCACCTACGTCACTATCAAGAACCCAGACAGGGAAGCCAGGGCACTCGGCAACACAGCGTTTCTCACTCGTGCTAGCAACGACCACTTTCATCAAGGTCAGAGTGTTCATAACAAAAATGGTATTTCATATACTTGGTTCCCAGTGACTAACAGGACCTAGCAGGTCCCCAACATTAGCCCACAGGTGTGTCAATGACAGGGACTGATCTCTCTATTTCTGGGATAGCCAGGGCAATGTTATCCACCCTTGGATTCTATAACTGCAGCAAGCAGGTAGTCAGGGTTTCATCAGGGTTCTGTCTGAACTGTTTCCCACCAACTCTGTTAAGGTGGAATACTCAGTTACTTGTGGGAGTGTGGCTGCCCGCCTCCTGGGCACTCCATTGTTGCATTTTACCTTCTGGGTTACCTACCACTGGCTGTGCCCTAAAAGAGGATTCATTTTCCTTCTCTTGTGAGGAGTCTCCTACCACTACCACAGGAGAGTTCAGCTGCCCCCATGATGAGTTACCACTATTACCACTCCACTTTAAGGAGCTGTTTTGTTTTCTCCAGCACTGCTGCTGCTGTTGCTTCTGTTCCATCTCCAGCTCATCCTAGAGTTCCCAGCCAGAGCATTGAGTCAGTTGATCTTTGCTCCATCTCCAGCTTGTCTTGGAATTCCCAGACATGGCCTCCTTCCTGGAGCTTTGCGTCTGTCTTGCCTTGGTCTCTGCTTATAGAGCTGTAAGAAATACCTAGCCCCAACCCCAATCAACCATATGGGCTTTTTTCTTTTCAAACACCTCTTCTACTGAATGGAGGGCTCTTTTGACTCACAGGCATTGTCATCCACATTGGGACACTCGTGGTGGGGCCACTAAAAAGACAATAGACTTACCATCGAGCACCATGTACTTGCAGTGGGCCACTCCTCAATCCCACTCGCTTAGGGCACCTCCATTGTTGGCCTTAACCAATCCTGTTGACTATACCAATTGCTGTGCCAACTGTTCATATTGGACAGACCAGAGAGCTACTGAGGCAGTAGGAGGGAGGAATAATATGTCTATTCTGTTCTGGTGGCTGGTGAGCTAAGGTACATAGGAGGTCTGCCCTTCCAGCTCCTGGAAGCTGGGGATCTGGGCTATATAGAAGGTCCACAATTCACAATCCATAATCTGCCTCCACTATCTATTAATCTGTCATCCACCATCCAAAGTTGGCAATCTGCAGTTCACCCAAGGAGAAGATCCTGTCACCTTTATACCTAGGGAATGAAATTGGCAGTATGCCAAACAGCTACACCATAAGCATCCTTATACATAGTTATGGTTATCTA